CGCCACAATCCCTTCTCCTCATTTCTCCATCCTGCTGGAATTTGGGGCATACACGCACACTCCTGGGCATGTTTTTCAGGTTTCCAGGGCTGGGACCACACAGAGAAGAACCCAGTGGGATCCAGCTCCCTTAACCACTAGGCCACGGGGCCAGCCCTGGCTTTGTTAATAGGGAGATACTAGAATGTGCGTCTCGGAGCCTTCCCCGGCAGTGCTATTTGACGTCATCATCAAACCAAGCGTGTAGTTCCTGTCCCAGGAGCTTGGCTAGAGCCCCAGAAGGAAATTCCAGTGGCGCTGCCCTGCACTGGCCATGGAAGGGCCGGGGGCAAGACCTGACCTCAGAGGAACACAGGCCTGACAGACCGTGAGTGAAAAGCCCTTGGCAGGGACGCGGGAAAGGGCTCATGGCCCAGCTTCCTCAGAACCGTCCCTGCATTGCAAGGGCCCGGCAGGCTCTGAGCGAGCTGGGTCTTTCCTGCAGACCGTCCTCCCCAGGAGGCAGACCCACTCACACACCGAGCAGGCAGGAGAGGCAAGAGTGCACGGGTGAGGACTGACTGTCAGCCCTGGGATGCCGGCAAGTCGGGGCCAGCAAGGCCAAGCCAGGCTTCGGACGGGACCCCTGTGTCCACCCAGGACAGAGCTGGTCTCACGGTCAGGGACAGCTGACGCCGAGCCCCCTGCTCAGTCATGTGTCCGGGCTGTCATCGACAAGTAGAACATGACAGGGGAAAAAATCAGAAATAAAGCCAGGAAGCCCACCAGAAACGGTCACCCGCCTGGGAGATCGGGTGGTCTCTAGCTGGCTGGGGACTTGGTTCCAGGGGACTTGGCCTCTCTGGGCCTAAGTTTCTTTGCAGTTGGAATTCCTTAGGCTTCAGCTCTCCCTCGGGGTCTGGTAGTCCACCGCTCTTGACCACAGTGGGACACCATGGTGATCCCACGGGGGTGGGCTAACTTGTGCCCCTGAAAACGATGTGCTGAAGTCCTAACCCCTTGTGAGTGCGGGCTTATTTGGAAAATGGTTCTTTGCAAAGCAGTTGGTTAAGAGGAAGTCACACTATTGGACTGACAGGAAAGTCATGACGTGTTTTCTATGCAAAAATGTGACTTCTGCAACGACCCAATCACAGTACCACATCCCAGCACTGGCATCCCCACGGGTGGAGGAGAGAGAACGTGGAGAAGGTCCGCTGTGACAGCCGCAGAGGCTGGAGTAATACAGCCACAGCCAGGGACATGGCTGGCAGGGCTACCAGAAGCTGGAGAGGCAGGAAGAGTCCTCCCCTAGAGTCTTCAGAGAGACACAGTCCCGATGACGCCAGGATGGCAGGTTTCCGGCCCCCAACACCACGAGAGAATACATTCTAGTTTTGTTTTCGTTTTCTTCCATAGGGAGTGTGTGCTCTCTGGAGAGAGACAAAGAGAGACAGGGAAAGTGAGAAATCACCTCCCAAGGGATAGCCATGCTGCAATCCCTTCTCCTCTGTTCTCTCAAGATTTGGGGGCATGTATGCACATGTGTCAGGCATGTTTTTCAATCTGCTGGGTCCAGGACTTGAACTGTGGAGTCACCTATGTGGGATCCAGCAACTCAACCACTATGCCACCTGCTGGCCCAAATGCTATTATTTCAAACCGTCAGAGAGTAGGACTTTGTTATGGTAGCTCTAGGACATGAACCCACCTATCTCCCTCCTTCCTGAAACACCTCTTCCTTACACCCCTGCTGGGTATCTTCCCCCTCTGGTCCTCCTCCCATTTCCCTGGCCACTCCTCTTGTCCTTGTCCTGAGCCCCCCTCATCCTCTGGCTCTCTCAGCATCCCCCTGCTCTTCTCACCTTCCCTGCACCCTGCACCCTGGCTCCTGTCCACTCTCCTTGCTTCTGGCCTTGGTTACAGACACCACCCACCAGGCAGCTGCCCCGCCCATGTTTTACACACCTCTTTTGGTGTGCCCACCCAACCAGGGCATGGAATCATGGCGAGCCCTGGTCACCCAGGCCTGGGGGGCGGGGGCACCTAACTCTGGCCCTACCTCCCCCACACCTGAGCGCGTGTGCTTTCTAGCTCTTTCCTGCCTCACTCCCTCCTGCCTACCCCTGACCTGGCTGCCTGCTCCTGCCTGCATCCTCCATTCTCTCTACAGATGGTGATATTCCCAAAATGCAAAACTGGCCTTGTTTCATCCTGCTTAAAGCTTTTGGGACATTGTGCTGATCGGGGACAAGTGCCAAGCCCTCACCCTGACCTGCAGGCTGCTCACACATGGCCCCTCCAGCCTCTGCCCTCTCTCAGTGGTCTTGTGTGGTTGTGCTTGCTGATACACACTTTCTACCGGGAGCCTCCTCCACTGTCTCCACTCTGTGACCTGCTACGCACTCGCATGTCACCCTGAACGGATCTGTCTCTGCAGCGCTAGCCCCTGTGGTGGGCTGAATTCTGTCCCCTACTCAATTCATAGACTGAAACTTAACCCCCAGGACCTTAGAATGTGCCCTTATTGAAAATAGGGTCATTGCAGATATGATTAGTTAAGATGAGATCATTAAGATGGGTCCTAATCCAGTGTGACCAGTGTTCTTACAAAAAGGGGAAATTTAAACAAAGACAATCACATGAATAGGGAGAATATCATATGAAGGTGAAGGTGGAGATTAAAGCGATGCTTCTATGAGCCAAGGAAAGGCCTAAAATAGAGCATCCCTCACAGCCCTGAGAAAGAACCTCTCCTTCTGTCACCCGGATCTCAGCCTCCAGAGCTGTGAGAGCACAGTACGTTTCTATGATGTAAGCCCCCTTAAACAACAATGAGTGACCCTTTGTTACACAGCCCTTACTGACTAATACACCTCCATGCTTTACTGCTTTGAGGGCCACACCAGCCTGCCTCTATCTCATTCCTAGCACAGGGGTGAGCATACAGCAGGTGCTCAATAAATGTGGCACCTTGCCCTGGAGCTTGCCACTTACTATTCCTTCTCTTTTCTATTTCTCTTACATGTTCCTGCATTTCCTCATCTCTTTCTGCTGCACAAGCATAAGATTTAATTAGAGGAAAGGCTTTTTGATGACCAGCCAAATCGGGGCCTTGCATGGTGTGAGTCATTTCTAGAATCTGGCCTATATATTCTACTGCATTCCATCACTTGAACGAACCATCTCTCCTGACTTTCCTGTGATGGCAAAATGTTGCCAAGTCTACCAACCACTCAGAGTTCACTGGGCAGTTGAGATTCCAGAACGGACTCAGCTCTTAGAGATGGTCAATGCTTCGAGCACCCAGGGCAGCCCTCTTCTGCTTTGTAACCGACGTGGAGGATTCGGGAGAGCCATCGGCGTGTGGTGGTGAGGCTGGGCTTGCCTTAGCCGAGGACCCAGGTGTGCGGACCTGTTTGAGAGGAAGCAGGCACTGGGCCGGAGTCACACGCTATTTTTACTTCTGGTTTCATATGGCATGGTTTTAAATTATTGAGTGGTTGGAAAGATCCCACAATGAAATCATATTTCATTAGTTTCTCCATTTGACTGTGAAGTAAATCAATTCCTGGGCTGTATCTGGAGGTGAAGAAAGGATAAAAACCCTGCAGCGTTGCTGAGCGCACACTGGAGGTTCCATCTGAGCAGGGCTAAACGTAGCCTCTGGACACGGCCTGCTCCCATAACAGCGCCTGCCTTTGAGTTGCAGGGTTTCCGCAGAACTCGATTTCCAAGCTGACTTCTTTCTTTCTAGACCAGGCCCCAGGTGAGTCCAGCCTTGCTGTGCTGCTCTCCATAGAAGCAATTTGTGGGAGGCCTCAGCAGGCCCAGGGAGGGGTCAGGAATGCAGGAGAGGGCTCGGGCGGGGCTGACCTCTTTCCTCTGCTGAGTGGAGGCATCACAGAGAAGCGAGTGCAGGGCGCATGCTACTCTCACAGCCCCACTCTGCTATCTGCGCTGGACACTCCAGGGTGCTGGGGAGGCCCCGTGAGCAGGGCCTACCTCTGTCTGACTCAAGGCCACATGTCTACTGGGGGACACTGGAGTGATATGGCGGTGACAGAAAGGCCTTGAAGAACAGAAGTGGCCTCTGGCTTAGCTGGGGCCAGGGAAGGCTTCTCTAGGGAGACGTCCAGAGTGTGAGCCTGACCTAGCCAGGAGAACACGGGGCAGGTCCGTCCTGGCTGTGCACCTCAGGTGAGGCCCCAGGACTGTCAGCCTCATCATGTGACCTCCCTGATGACCCTTGGAGGTGATGACAGATTCAGGAGGAACATAGTGCCACAGCCCATGGGCTCTCTTCGGGAAGGCCTGGAGTACTTCCTAGCTCCGCCACTCGGCAACTTTGCAATTGGGTGACTAAGGCCTTAGTTTTCCCACCTGTCGACGATGACGACGACGATGATGACGATGGCAGGGTCCTCTGAGATGACACATAAAGTACAGGTTTGCACAGAGCAGCCCCAGAATGGGGCTGCCCGCTCATGGCCGTCTGCCACACCTGATATGATCCCTGTATGTCCCCTTTACATGCGTTCTCTGCTCCCTACACCTCTTAGCCAGTCCCGGCATGAAGCCGACCCCATTGGGCTTAGAAAAAAACCCTCCGCCCAGGCTCGGCTGCCTCATACACGCGGCCTCTCTCCTCTTACCCCTCCTGTCCCAGCATCAAGAAAACTGACGTAAACACCTACTGGCCCAGTTTATGTGTTCTAGCCTGTTTTGTTGATAATGACGGAAGATACATAACACTGGGACCAGCAGATGGTGTAATGGTTACGTCGCTGGACTCCCACATGGCCGACCACGGTTCAAGTCCCAGACCAAGAGGAACATGGAAGAGAAGGGATTGTGGCATGGCATTCCTCCCACCCACCCCCGCCCCCCGGGGATTATTTCTTGCTTTCTGTCTCTGTCTCTATCTCTCAGGTGAACACACACAACCTATCTCTAAAATCTCTCTAAAAAATAAATAAATAACAGTGGGTGATTTATAAAAGTACAGTTTTATTCCGCTTTCAGCCTGGACATCCACAGTTGGGGGCCACGTCTGCTGCGCATCTTACAATCCTCTCACTTGGGGAAGAGCACGACACAGCGGTTGTCTAAGTCCCGCACCTTGTAAACCCATCAGAAATCAGTCATGGGGCCCTACCCTAACGATCTTAAGGACCCCACCATTTGATGCCACAATTGGATCAATTTTCTACCCTCTTAATCCTGTGACGAATGGCTCAACACATGAGGAAGGGCAAATCTTTGAGGGATGGCACATACTTCTCCCTGGTCTGTTTAGTAACAATCATTACAATAATAACTATAATTTACCAAGCCTTGCCTTTTGGCCAGGAGTGTTACTAATATTACGTAGTTAATACTACTAACCAACCTCAGGGGCGTGCACTGTGATGCGACGGATAAGGAAACTGAGGCCAGAGAGGGCAAGCACCAGGTTGTCACTCAAATTCACACCCGCCTCTTGGCACCAGAGGCTGAGAAGACTTGGCGCCAGAGATTCAAGTCAGACAGCAGCTGGTTTTACCGTCTGGTCTCAGAGGACAGCTTGCAGGAAGAGAAAACAGACCTAAGGTCAACCCCTCCCTTGCCACCAACTTGCTGGGTGACTATGGGCAGATCCTCTTTGGGTCTCGGTTCCTACTCTCATGAAAGAACATACTGGAACCACATGGCCCACAGGTCCTTCCCGGTTGGGAACTGCTATGACTCCCCAGACCCCACCCCTCTGTGGGTACTTGCTCAGGGAGGGAGAACAACTTCACTGGGAGGTTATAGGTGTCCCCACAGCGTATACCAGGTCATGCATATCTACCAGGTGAGTCACAGGGACTTGACTGAGAGCCATGATGGTGGCCTTCTTCCGTCTTCACCAGGCTGCATGGAGAAAATCATGGGGCCCCCCGAGGAGCCTCTTAGGAGCTTTTCAAGGTACAAGGGGCCCGGTCCTTCTCCTGGGGAGGAAACAGAGGCTGTGGGCAGAGCTTGACAGGGAGCTCCTCTGTGAGGGGTAGCAGGTATGTTCTGAGGTTGGGTGGTGCCAGCACGCTCCCCTTCCCTCTGTCCTCTCCTATATTTAGCAGATGTTTGGGGGGTGCTTGCTCTGTGCTGGGCCGTGTGTTAGGCATGGGAAGAATCATTATAACAACGGCTGCCCCTGCTGGAGCGCAGCATGGTTTAGTTCAGAGAATCCTCAGAAATGACCTAGAAGAGGAGGACTTCCCCTGCGTCTAACAGTGAAGATAGAGAGGCACAGAGCTTGTTCATGCTCCTGAAGGAGCTGGTGGGGAAGCCAGGTGCCCATCAGGCAGGCAGACTCTGTCAACTGGAAGCTGTCACCCCCACTACCTCTGCCTCATTGATGCTCTCAGCCAGTGACAGACCCTCTCTCAGCCACTTCAGAGAGGGGGCCCTGATGCCCACGAAGGGGAAGGACTTGCTCAAGTTGCACTGCTGAGAGGCGGAGCTGGGCTGGTATTTGCGTTCTGGGCAAAAGATCCCAGCAGGCAGGTGTGGGAGACTGGCAGCTGCAGGCATGGTCCCCTTGGCCGGCCTGCTGGGCGTCTAGGGTGTGTGGGGCTGGCCTGGCTCCTCTGGGTAGAGGGTCACTGCTGATGGTGGGAGAGGAATGCCAGCTTTTGCCTCAGTACTTCAGGCTCCACATTTTCTGTACCCAACCTCCTTCCTCTTGTTGATGGCATCTCCAAACAGCCCCCGCCCAAGCCAAATGTGTTTGATCCCTCCCTCCTTCCCTGACTGCATCCTAGCTGCTTCCCCAGACCAGGTCCTCCACACTCTCTTGCTCTCCCTTCGTCCAGGCCTGTCTCCCCCTCACCTCTCTGCAGCCCATTTTGTGGCACTCAGTGGGATCCACCTTCCTATCCCCTGACTCCTTCTCCCATACTCAGATCCACACCCTGTGCTGGGAGCCTGACGTCACAGAAGGGAGTCTATCACTGTCTGGACTGAGGCCTGGGACTGTGATGGGTAGAACATGCCACCTCCTCCACGTGTGCCGTCCTGAGCTAGGGCCCCAGCCTGGACCGTGAGACCAGAGCCTGGGGTGCGTCTCAAGGCCGCAAAGGGCTCTAGCCCGGTAGTCAGGAAAGGTGCCCGCGAATCCCAGCTTATTTCAGCCTTGCTGAGGGATGTCTGCAAATTCTGCCCGAGCCCGGTCCTCTGTCTCATTTCCTTCTCTGTATACTGGGGAGAAAGAGAGGTTGGAACAGAAGGTCCTCAGGCCCCTTGTAGCTCCACGGCTCAAGAGGAGCTGCATCACACTCGCTTTTCCCTTCGTCGCCCTCCTTGCAATTCCAGGGCTCCCGAGAACAGCGGCCACCCAGGCCGCGGTGACAGCTCTGCAGAGACCTGAGAGCGATTGCGAAAGGCCACGGCCCGCCTGCGCCTGCGCGGGCCACCCGGCCTGCTGGGACTTGTAGTCCGTCCATTTCAGCAGCTGGGGCGTTAAGACGAGCGGCGTGAGGCGCGGCGCCTACATTTCCCAGGATCCACCTCGCCGCGGGAAGGTGCGGGGCGGGGCCACTTGGAGGGGCGGGACGGGGCGGGGCT